ATGGCCTTGGAGCGAATCAAAACGCAGTATTTTGTGTTTGAACGAATCAAACAGTAAGAAGAGTTCATTTTTGACCAATCAAAAGGCTGGAACGCACACACGTGACAAACAGACACACACACACACACACACACACACAGACAGACACACTTACTACTTTATATATATAGACTAGTGAACGTGACCCGGCTTCGCACGGGTGGGGGTGCGTGTGATGTGAATTAGTGCTGGTTGGGGTTTGATGTGCATAAGTGGACTAATCTAGGATTGGCAGTTACACCTCACCTCTGCTGTAAGAAGAGTCGGCATCGTTGTCAAACTCACAAACTGATTTTGTGTTTGGTGAGGCCAACGTGTCTGATGCAAGACAGGCGGGGCAGAGATGGATGTGCATGTGGTCCACGACATCAAGTTCATGTTCGTGCCAACGTGTCTGATGCAAAAACGGTAGATGTGGAGATTGTTGCTTAATGGTGATGTGCACGACACCGGGTTTATGTTCGTGCCAGCGTGTCTGAAGCGAAACAGTCGCGTTAGAGGTGCAGATCTGTGGCTTAGCCGTTGGGTCCACGACACCGAGTTTGAGTTCGTGCCAGCGTGTCTGATGCGAAACAGGCGTGTTAGAGGTGGAGTTGTGTCGCATAGTAGTGGGGTCCACGACAGGAATTCATGTCGCGCAATGCGTGCATGATGCGGTGCGACATGAGGGTAGGCATGTCTAACGCAAACTGAGGTGGTTGTACGGCACTGGGTTCGTGCTCGAGCGAACCCAGTGTCGTACATCCACCTCAGTCGCTGTTTCTGTAGGTTTTGGTGTCAACATTCTGTCAGCAAGCACGAAGTTTGGCCGAAGCAGGGATCATGACACTGGGTTGGTGTTGGTGTATTATGCACCGTTCGTGCAAGTTAGGGTGTTGTCGTAGTGTCAGCGTGCCCAAATGAAAGGAGAGGCGAGGGGTAAGGGATGGGTTGCTTGAATAAGAATCACGGCACAGGGTTCGTCGCGTTGTGTTCATAAACGGGGGTTCTGAAGATGGGTCGCTTGGAGGTAGGGGCAAGTTGTCCGGGTCGCTGCTGTGAATACCGTCAACAGGGATGAACGTAAGAGATTGGATTACTTGAGAGCCGGAGATTGAAGAACCTGAAATGACAAAGTTGAATTACACGAAGTTGATCTAATTATCTAAAACTTGAGTGTAGACGACATTCTTGGTGGAGCCACTTGGAGCGAAGACGTATGATGTGCTTTTGGAACCAACACGCGAGCAAGCAACATACAATTGCCCGTGAGAGAAGCAGGGAGTTTCCAAGTCGGAGCCCATGACTTTGAGCGATTGGCCTTGGGACTTGTTGATGGTCATCGAAAATGCAAGTCGGACAGGGAATTGAACTCGCTTGAAGGGAAACGGCAAGTCTTTTCCAAGCACAGGGATCCGAGGAATAAGGACCGTCGTATTCTTGGCGCAGCCCGTGAGAATCACTGCCTCAATGAGATTTCTCTTCAAAGCAGTGATGCAAAGCCTTGTTCCGTTGCACAGCCTTGGTGCATCGAGGTTGCGAAGCAAAATGACCGGCGCACCAACCTTGAGCTTGAGGTCGTGCTGCGGAAGTCCTGATGGGTTTTGAGAGTTCAAGAACTCAACAGGAAAGTTGACGGCTTCGCTTTCTTCAATGGTCTTGTCGAA